GAGAGGAAAGGAAAGGAAGGGAGGAGAGATAGAAGCATCAATGATGAGAGAGAATCATTGATTGGCTGCCTCCTGCACTCCCCCTACTGGGGATTGAGCCTGCAACCCGGCATGTGCTCTGACTGGGAATGGAACTGTGACCTCCTGATTCATAGGTTGATGCTCAACCACTGAGCCACAGTGGCCAGACCACAATTATTTGATTTTAAAAATAATAATGGCTTAACATTCTTTGAGCACTTACCCGGTGCCAGACAGTGTGCTAAGGTTTTGTTTTGGTTTTATCTGTTGTGTTCTTTCATGCTCCCATCAGGCCCTGTGAACAAACTGGCTTGGAGGCCCAGGTAGTGGGACTGGAGCTGCGGGTGCCCCCGGGCTCCCCCTGCTGCTTGCCCTCCGTGGGTGTGCGGAATCTCCCTTAGGGTGAGGGTGGATGTTAGCACCTGATTTAACAGAGTCCAGGGGCTGAGTGACTGGGCCAGGGGCAGACAGGACCTGGAAGCTGCCTGCCCCAGGGAAGGGCCCTGGCTTTGGTGTCTGCAGAGCTGGGTGAGAGTCTGCCTGCCTCTCTGAGCCCATTTCCTCATCTCTTCCTGGGGATAAAGGGAACACCCCCTAGAGTTAGGGTGATTGAATGAGACAACGAGTAATGACCCCCCAGTTCTGCTAATACCGCCGTCGTCTCAATCCTGCTGCACGCTGGGCCCCAGCCTCCGGGCCCACAGTGCCTTCCTCATGCCGGTGCTCACAGCGCCAGGAAAGCCGCCTGCACCCTGTGCTCCATTGCAGACTGCCGGCTGCTGTGGGACTACGTGTACCAGCTGCTCTCCGACACCAGGTACCAGTCCGTCATCAGGTGGGAAGACGAGGACGCCAGGATCTTCCGAGTCGTGGATCCCAACGGGCTCGCCAGACTCTGGGGAAACCACAAGGTGAGCCTCAGCCAGCGGGTGGGAGGCCTCAACTTACCCAGAAGCGGACGGGGCAGGGGTCAGAGCGGACCCTCAGCACTAGGGCTCCATCCTTACCTGGGGGGCTCAGTAGCAGCTCCAGGAAGTGTTGGGGTCCTTCTACTTTGGGAGGTCCTGAAGGTCGGACAGCGGCTTCCTGAGGAGGGGACTGGCCCTGGAACTTGGGATCTTGCCTGCTCACCGCTCGCTCCCACCTTTGCTCAGCACGGGGACCTTTCAGAGCACGTTCACATGAGTTGCCCATCAGATGCCGTGGGGTGGGCAGGCCGGATGGGAACCGGGTTCCCTGGGGGAAGCCGGGACGGGAGTCAGGTCTCGGGCCTGCAGGGCCGTCTGCCGTCGGGGTTGGGAAGGCCCGGGAAGGGCTGAGACCAGCATTCCCAGCGCGAGGAGTACCCACACCTAAATGGGTGTCTGCAGGGGATTCTAGGAACTAAGGACTTATTTTAGTAAGAATCAGGATTAAAAAAATCTATCCTGTCAGTCTCATGATTACAGTGGTGATACAAAGCAAGTGTCCTTGTCTATAAATTAATTCACTTAAGTAAAAAAAATGGAGTCTTTTAAAGAAAACTGTTAATAACAATAATTTGCAATATGTAGCATTCCTTAAAAGGATATAGCATTTGATTGGCAGGCACTGCTCTGAGGGTTATAATTTACTAACTCATTTACTCCTCACAACAGCCTTGTGAGGGCAGGTAGGTATCAGACGGGGAAACTGAGGCACGGATTGGTTTATCAACTTGTCCAGGGGTCTGCAGCCAGGAGGTGGCAGGGCAGGGACCTGAACGCAGACTGCAGCCCTGCACTCCTCTCTGTTTTGTGGCCTCTCAGGACGGCCGGTGGCTGGAAGGGTGCAAATGACTGAAGTTTGGATGTGCTCTTTGGCCCAACCCCTGCACAGTACAGGGGAGAAACTGAGGCTCGGAGAGTAGTAAGTTCATTTAATGAGCACAGACTACATGGCAGGCACCGTGCTCAGTATTCTCACGGATTAGCAAGTTCATCCTTACCACAAACCTGTGAGACGGATGTTCTCGTCCTCATCTCATAGCCGGGCACACGGGTTCAGAGACGTAACACCAGTCCGGCCACTTTGCCCTGCTCTGCGCTGCCCGCCCTGCGGAGAGAGGAAAACGTCCCCCGGCCGAAGTCACTCGGCCCCTTGCCAGGCTATCTCTATGATTACGTCGCCTACTACATGTATATTTATTTGTTACTGCCGGTGACATTAGCTTTTTAAGAGCTACAGGTGACCCGCTCCTGCCCCCGGTTCTCAGCCAGGCAGATGAGAGATCCGCCCCAATGTGTCTCCCCCACCTCCCCCTGCCTTCCTCCTTCCAAACTCAAGAGAAAGCTCTCAGAACCCTGGCTGCTCCCTTCCAGGCATGGGAACCATGGGAACCGAGGCCTGGGAGGGGCAGGGGGGGAGTGGGGGTGACGTGGCTGCCTTGCCTCCCAGAACCGCGTGAACATGACCTACGAGAAGATGTCGCGCGCCCTGCGCCACTACTATAAGCTGAACATCATCAGGAAGGAGCCGGGGCAGAAGCTCCTGTTCAGGTGAGCAGCCTGGGCCGAGGGGCCCGGGGAGGCGGGGGGCGCTGGGTGGGCAGGAAGCCCCGCGGCTGTGGGAGGCCGGCCCCGGACCAGGGCAGCCGCCCGCAGCAGCTGCAGCGCCGGGCGCAGGGCCAGGCCGGCTTCAAGGCGGACGTGCTGGCGGTCTCTCCGTGAGGGCACGACCCAGGCCCTGGGCAGATGGGACAGAGAGCGAGTCTCTCGTGAGGGCGGCGAGCTGCACGCCTCCGCCCTCCTCCCGGGGCAGCAGGGACGCCCGGCCGGTGCACTTCGGGACCTGCTGTCGGGGACCTCAGAGCCGCCT